TAGGGTTATGTTTAGGGTTAGGGTTGGAGCTAGGGTTAGGGTTAGGGTTAGGGTTGGAGTTAGGGTTAGTGTTGGAGCTAGGGTTAGGGTTGGGCTTGGAGCTAGGATTTTTCTGAGTGCAATGAACCAACTCCCGAGTCTCTTGGACGTTCCTAAAAAAATTTGATTTTTTCCCATAGGAATGCATGGGTTAGGGTTAGGGTTAGGGTTGGAGCTAGGGTTAGGGTTAGGGTTAGGGTTGGAGTTAGGGTTAGTGTTGGAGCTAGGGTTAGGGTTGGGCTTGGAGCTAGGATTTTTCTGAGTGCAATGAACCAACTCCCGAGTCTCTAGGACGTTCCTAAAAAAATTTGATTTTTTCCCATAGGAATGCATGGGTTAGGGTTAGGGTTAGGGTTAGGGTTGGAGCTAGGGTTAGGGTTAGGGTTAGGGTTGGAGTTAGGGTTAGTGTTGGAGCTAGGGTTAGGGTTGGGCTTGGAGCTAGGATTTTTCTGAGTGCAATGAACCAACCCCGAGTCTCTAGGACGTTCCTAAAAAATTTGATTTTTTCCCATAGGAATGCATGGGTTAGGGTTATGGTTAGGGTTAGGGTTGGAGCTAGGGTTAGGGTTAGGGTTAGGGTTGGAGTTAGGGTTAGTGTTTGAGCTAGGGTTAGGGTTGGGCTTGGAGCTAGGATTTTTCTGAGTGCAATGAACCAACTCCCGAGTCTCTAGGACGTTCCTAAAAAAATTTGATTTTTTCCCATAGGAATGCATGGGTTAGGGTTAGGGTTAGGGTTGGAGCTAGGGTTAGGGTTAGGGTTAGGGTTGGAGTTAGGGTTAGTGTTGGAGCTAGGGTTAGGGTTGGGCTTGGAGCTAGGATTTTTCTGAGTGCAATGAACCAACTCCCGAGTCTCTAGGACGTTCCTAAAACAATTTGATTTTTTCCCATAGGAATGCATGGGTTAGGGTTAGGGTTAGGGTTGGAGCTAGGGTTAGGGTTAGGGTTAGGGTTGGAGTTAGGGTTAGTGTTGGAGCTAGGGTTAGGGTTGGGCTTGGAGCTAGGACTTTTCTGAGTGCAATGAACCAACTCCCGAGTCTCTAGGACGTTCCCTAAAAAAATTTGATTTTTTCCCATAGGAATGCATGGGTTAGGGTTAGGGTTAGGGTTGGAGCTAGGGTTAGGGTTAGGGTTAGGGTTAGAGTTAGGGTTAGTGTTGGAGCTAGGGTTAGGGTTGGGCTTGGAGCTAGGATTTTTCTGAGTGCACTGAACCAACTCCCGAGTCTCTAGGACATTCCTAAAAAAATTGATTTTTTTCCATAGGAATGCATGGGTTAGGGTTAGGGTTAGGGTTGGAGCTAGGGTTAGTGTTAGGTTTAGGGTTGGAGTTAGGGTTAGTGTTGGAGCTAGGGTTAGGGTTGGGCTTGGAGCTAGGATTTTTCTGAGTGCAATGAACCAACTCCCGAGTCTCTAGGACGTTCCTAAAAAAATTGATTTTTTCCCATAGGAATGCATGGGTTAGGGTTAGGGTTAGGGTTGGAGCTAGGGTTAGGGTTAGGGTTAGGGTTGGAGTTAGGGTTAGTGTTGGAGCTAGGGTTAGGGTTGGGCTTGGAGCTAGGATTTTTCTGAGTGCAATGAACCAACTCCCGAGTCTCTAGGACGTTCCTAAAAAAATTTGATTTTTTCCCATAGGAATGCATGGGTTAGGGTTAGGGTTAGGGTTGGAGCTAGGGTTAGGGTTAGGGTTAGGGTTGGAGTTAGGGTTAGTGTTGGAGCTAGGGTTAGGGTTGGGCTTGGAGCTAGGATTTTTCTGAGTGCACTGAACCAACTCCCGAGTCTCTAGGACATTCCTAAAAAAATTTGATTTTTTCCCATAGGAATGCATGGGTTAGGGTTAGGGTTAGGGTTGGAGCTAGGGTTAGGGTTAGGGTTGGAGTTAGGGTTAGTGTTGGAGCTAGGGTTAGGGTTGGGCTTGGAGCTAGGACTTTTCTGAGTGCAATGAACCAACTCCCGAGTCTCTAGGACGTTCCCTAAAAAAAATTGATTTTTTCCCATAGGAATGCATGGGTTAGGGTTAGGGTTAGGGTTGGAGCTAGGGTTAGGGTTAGGGTTAGGGTTAGAGTTAGGGTTAGTGTTGGAGCTAGGGTTAGGGTTGGGCTTGGAGCTAGGATTTTTCTGAGTGCACTGAACCAACTCCCGAGTCTCTAGGACATTCCTAAAAAAAATTGATTTTTTTCCCATAGGAATGCATGGGTTAGGGTTAGGGTTAGGGTTGGAGCTAGGGTTAGTGTTAGGTTTAGGGTTGGAGTTAGGGTTAGTGTTGGAGTTAGGGTTAGGGTTGGGCTTGGAGCTAGGATTTTTCTGAGTGCAATGAACCAACTCCCGAGTCTCTAGGACGTTCCTAAAAAAATTTGATTTTTTCCCATAGGAATGCATGGGTTAGGGTTAGGGTTAGGGTTGGAGCTAGGGTTAGGGTTAGGGTTAGGGTTGGAGTTAGGGTTAGTGTTGGAGCTAGGGTTAGGGTTGGGCTTGGAGCTAGGATTTTTCTGAGTGCACTGAACCAACTCCCGAGTCTCTAGGACATTCCTAAAAAAATTTGATTTTTTCCCATAGGAATGCATGGGTTAGGGTTATGGTTAGGGTTAGGGTTGGAGCTAGGGTTAGGGTTAGGGTTAGGGTTGGAGTTAGGGTTAGTGTTGGAGCTAGGGTTAGGGTTGGGCTTGGAGCTAGGATTTTTCTGAGAGCACTGAACCAACTCCCGAGTCTCTAGGACATTCCTAAAAAAATTTGATTTTTTCCCATAGGAATGCATGGGTTAGGGTTATGGTTAGGGTTAGGGTTGGAGCTAGGGTTAGGGTTAGGGTTAGGGTTGGAGTTATGGTTAGTGTTGGAGCTAGGGTTAGGGTTGGGCTTGGAGCTAGGATTTTTCTGAGTGCAATGAACCAACTCCAGAGTCTCTAGGACGTTCCTAAAAAAATTTGATTTTTTCCCATAGGAATGCATGGGTTAGGGTTAGGGTTAGGGTTGGAGCTAGGGTTAGGGTTAGGGTTAGGGTTAGGGTTGGAGTTAGGGTTAGTGTTGGAGCTAGGGTTAGGGTTGGGCTTGGAGCTAGGATTTTTCTGAGTGCACTGAACCAACTCCCGAGTCTCTAGGACATTCCTAAAAAAATTTGATTTTTTCCCATAGGAATGCATGGGTTAGGGTTAGGGTTAGGGTTGGAGCTAGGGTTAGGGTTAGGGTTAGGGTTGGAGTTAGGGTTAGTGTTGGAGCTAGGGTTAGGGTTGGGCTTGGAGCTAGGATTTTTCTGAGTGCACTGAACCAACTCCCGAGTCTCTAGGACATTCCTAAAAAATTTGATTTTTTCCCATAGGAATGCATGGGTTAGGGTTATGGTTAGGGTTAGGGTTGGAGCTAGGGTTAGGGTTAGGGTTAGGGTTGGAGTTAGGGTTAGTGTTGGAGCTAGGGTTAGGGTTGGGCTTGGAGCTAGGATTTTTCTGAGTGCAATGAACCAACTCCCGAGTCTCTTGGACGTTCCTAAAAAAATTTGATTTTTTCCCATAGGAATGCATGGGTTAGGGTTAGGGTTAGGGTTGGAGCTAGGGTTAGGGTTAGGGTTAGGGTTGGAGTTAGGGTTAGTGTTGGAGCTAGGGTTAGGGTTGGGCTTGGAGCTAGGATTTTTCTGAGTGCACTGAACCAACTCCCGAGTCTCTAGGACATTCCTAAAAAAATTAGATTTTTTCCCATAGGAATGCATGGGTTAGGGTTATGTTTAGGGTTAGGGTTGGAGCTAGGGTTAGGGTTAGGGTTAGGGTTGGAGTTAGGGTTAGTGTTGGAGCTAGGGTTAGGGTTGGGCTTGGAGCTAGGATTTTTCTGAGTGCAATGAACCAACTCCCGAGTCTCTTGGACGTTCCTAAAAAAATTTGATTTTTTCCCATAGGAATGCATGGGTTAGGGTTAGGGTTAGGGTTGGAGCTAGGGTTAGGGTTAGGGTTAGGGTTGGAGTTAGGGTTAGTGTTGGAGCTAGGGTTAGGGTTGGGCTTGGAGCTAGGATTTTTCTGAGTGCAATGAACCAACTCCCGAGTCTCTAGGACGTTCCTAAAAAAATTTGATTTTTTCCCATAGGAATGCATGGGTTAGGGTTAGGGTTAGGGTTGGAGCTAGGGTTAGGGTTAGGGTTAGGGTTGGAGTTAAGGTTAGTGTTGGAGCTAGGGTTAGGGTTGGGCTTGGAGCTAGGATTTTTCTGAGTGCAATGAACCAACTACCGAGTCTCTAGGACGTTCCTAAAAAAATTTGATTTTTTCCCATAGGAATGCATGGGTTAGGGTTATGGTTAGGGTTAGGGTTGGAGCTAGGGTTAGGGTTAGGGTTAGGGTTGGAGTTAGGGTTAGTGTTGGAGCTAGGGTTAGGGTTGGGCTTGGAGCTAGGATTTTTCTGAGTGCAATGAACCAACCCCCGAGTCTCTAGGACGTTCCTAAAAAAATTTGATTTTTTCCCATAGGAATGCATGGGTTAGGGTTATGGTTAGGGTTAGGGTTGGAGCTAGGGTTAGGGTTAGGGTTAGGGTTGGAGTTAGGGTTAGTGTTGGAGCTAGGGTTAGGGTTGGGCTTGGAGCTAGGATTTTTCTGAGTGCAATGAACCAACTCCCGAGTCTCTAGGACATTCCTAAAAAAATTTGATTTTTTCCCATAGGAATGCATGGGTTAGGGTTAGGGTTAGGGTTGGAGCTAGGGTTAGGGTTAGGGTTAGGGTTGGAGTTAGGGTTAGTGTTGGAGCTAGGGTTAGGGTTGGGCTTGGAGCTAGGATTTTTCTGAGTGCAATGAACCAACTCCCGAGTCTCTAGGACGTTCCTAAAAAAATTTGATTTTTTCCCATAGGAATGCATGGGTTAGGGTTAGGGTTAGGGTTGGAGCTAGGGTTAGGGTTAGGGTTAGGGTTAGTGTTGGAGCTAGGGTTAGGGTTGGGCTTGGAGCTAGGATTTTTCTGAGTGCACTGAACCAACTCCCGAGTCTCTAGGACATTCCTAAAAAAATTAGATTTTTTCCCATAGGAATGCATGGGTTAGGGTTAGGGTTAGGCTTGGAGCTAGGGTTAGGGTTAGGGTTAGGGTTGGAGTTAGGGTTAGTGTTGGAGCTAGGGTTAGGGTTGGGCTTGGAGCTAGGATTTTTCTGAGTGCAATGAACCAACTCCCGAGTCTCTAGGACGTTCCTAAAAAAATTTGATTTTTTCCCATAGGAATGCATGGGTTAGGGTTAGGGTTAGGGTTGGAGCTAGGGTTAGGGTTAGGGTTAGGGTTGGAGTTAGGGTTAGTGTTGGAGCTAGGGTTAGGGTTGGGCTTGGAGCTAGGATTTTTCTGAGTGCACTGAACCAACTCCCGAGTCTCTAGGACATTCCTAAAAAAATTTGATTTTTTCCCATAGGAATGCATGGGTTAGGGTTATGGTTAGGGTTAGGGTTGGAGCTAGGGTTAGGGTTAGGGTTAGGGTTGGAGTTAGGGTTAGTGTTGGAGCTAGGGTTAGGGTTGGGCTTGGAGCTAGGATTTTTCTGAGTGCACTGAACCAACTCCCGAGTCTCTAGGACATTCCTAAAAAAATTTGATTTTTTCCCATAGGAATGCATGGGTTAGGGTTAGGGTTAGGCTTGGAGCTAGGGTTAGGGTTAGGGTTAGGGTTGGAGTTAGGGTTAGTGTTGGAGCTAGGGTTAGGGTTGGGCTTGGAGCTAGGATTTTTCTGAGTGCACTGAACCAACTCCCGAGTCTCTAGGACATTCCTAAAAAAAATTGATTTTTTTCCCATAGGAATGCATGGGTTAGGGTTATGGTTAGGGTTAGGGTTGGAGCTAGGGTTAGGGTTGGAGTTAGGGTTAGTGTTGGAGCTAGGGTTAGGGTTAGGGTTAGGGTTAGGGTTAGGGTTAGGGTTAGGTTAGGGTTAGGGTTGGAGCTAGGGTTAGGGTTAGGGTTAGGGTTGGAGTTAGGGTTAGTGTTGGACCTAGGGTTAGGGTTGGGCTTGGAGCTAGGATTTTTCTGAGTGCAATGAACCAACTCCCGAGTCTCTAGGACGTTCCTAAACAAATTTGATTTTTTCCCATAGGAATGCATGGGTTAGGGTTAGGGTTAGGGTTGGAGCTAGGGTTAGGGTTAGGGTTAGGGTTGGAGTTAGGGTTAGTGTTGGAGCTAGGGTTAGGGTTGGGCTTGGAGCTAGGATTTTTCTGAGTGCAATGAACCAACTCCCGAGTCTCTAGGACGTTCCTAAAAAATTTGATTTTTTCCCATAGGAATGCATGGGTTAGGGTTAGGGTTAGGGTTGGAGCTAGGGTTAGGGTTAGGGTTAGGGTTGGAGTTAAGGTTAGTGTTGGAGCTAGGGTTAGGGTTGGGCTTGGAGCTAGGATTTTTCTGAGTGCAATGAACCAACTCCCGAGTCTCTAGGACGTTCCTAAAAAAAATTGATTTTTTCCCATAGGAATGCATGGGTTAGGGTTATGGTTAGGGTTAGGGTTGGAGCTAGGGTTAGGGTTAGGGTTAGGGTTGGAGTTAGGGTTAGTGTTGGAGCTAGGGTTAGGGTTGGGCTTGGAGCTAGGATTTTTCTGAGTGCAATGAACCAACCCCCGAGTCTCTAGGACGTTCCTAAAAAAATTTGATTTTTTCCCATAGGAATGCATGGGTTAGGGTTATGGTTAGGGTTAGGGTTGGAGCTAGGGTTAGGGTTAGGGTTAGGGTTGGAGTTAGGGTTAGTGTTGGAGCTAGGGTTAGGGTTGGGCTTGGAGCTAGGATTTTTCTGAGTGCAATGAACCAACTCCCGAGTCTCTAGGACGTTCCTAAAAAAATTTGATTTTTTTCCCC